TAGCAAAGATAGGAGTAAAGTCTCCATACTTTGACTCAACGCGGGAACAACCTGCCATACACATTGCAGTATCACAACCAGTTCACTCTGGAGATGCACCACTGGCAACATAATACGAGACACGTGTCAACATCATCGAGCAATACCACAACATGGGACATTACACTCCCGAGGAAACGGTAAACAAGTTGCAAACAGATGGACTTGATTGACCCCAAATCCAACAACATGTACACAAATTCATTAAAGGATGCATACCATGTCTCAAAAATACGATACACAAAAAGGATTCCACCTCTTACAATCAATTACAGCTGCATTTCCAGGCGACAGAGTCCAAGTGAACACCATTGGGTCACTATTGGACTCAAACAGAGGACACGCAAATGTGTTTAGTATGGCTAGATGTATACTCATCATTTGTCATATTACGACCAATGATGGACAAATCAGCGGCTACCATAGCACGCACGCTGGTACCAATCATGTGTGAACATGGATTCCCGCAAATCTTACAGACTGACCAAGGCACTGAATATGTTATCAAATATTTCCGAAAGTTGTTGAACAAGCGCCAAAACAACACTTAGTTTCTCAGCCGTACCAACCTAAAGTCTTGGGCGCGAACAAACGATCACAAAGAGACCTCGTGCCACTGTTACGGAAATTCGTTGAACAAACCCCAGAGAACTGGTGTTCACGACTTCCCTTCGTACAGATGGGCCACAATCTGCGTACATCAAGAAGGCACGGTCGCAGACAGAATCAACTCATGGACTACAACACGCCAGTGACCGCACCCAATACAACAGAATCTTGGGAAGAGCGACTGCAGCGTCTAGAAGAAGCCATTATGCCACAAACAGACAGCAACGCTGCGCAATATCAAGAAAAGATGTGCGCAGCATCCGACCGAAAAGGCCAAAAGAAGTATGTGAACTTCTAGGAAGGGGACCTTGCGAAATGAACAAAATGACTGCACCAAAGGGCGGACCATACAAAATAGTATGCAGAGAGGGCAACGAGTATATTGTCTATAACCTTGGTGGGATTAAAGCCTCGGAATATCTTGACTTGGTCAGTGATGAACTACTTGGACTCGTGAAAAGGGCCAGTGCTCCGGAAGCATCCACTTCCAATAATCACGTACAACCAAACGAAGAGACTCAGTTCTCCTTGATACTCGACGACAAGCCGTCCAGGATCCCAGGAGTACCTACTGCAATGGTCAGATGGTGAGCGTACCTGGACGCACGAATCAGACATCGCAGATACTGAAGTCATTACAACATACCGTCAACGCACTCGACAAACAACGAAGGCAGTCAAGGCCAAAAGACGACGAGCACTGATAAAAGATCAGCGAACAAGCGGGAGACTTAAGCAAGCCTCACTGATACCAAGGGACACTTCCACTTTCCTCGCCTTGAAGTATGCTCCCCCACACACCAGAGGGACAAAGACCAAAGATTCGGCTGTAGAGCCACCGTTGCGATGCGTTTTCTTAAGCCAAGTTGATATCAACCGAGAGCAAGACTGACTCCAATGAGCGTGGTAGATAACTCCCGTCATAGTACAAACTTAATTAAAAGGTAATATGTAAACATAGATAATGATGGCAGGTTTTCCATCGTATGCGCCCTAAGGGACAAGTTTTTCCCTGTACAAAAACACCCACCCCTAGATAATCTAGTACTGTAAAATGTCACTTTCTACTCCTACGCGTGCTAAGAAGCATAAAGTTGTAGCATCTGGGGACCAGATTATCATAAAGCCAATACAAATCCCAAATCCCAGAATCATCAAATATTGAGTTTTAGAATTTGGAACGGAATGTTTCTGATATTAGAGTCATCAGAAATATTAGCGGTAGAACCGGTAAGCTAGACCGGGACTCCGCGTGTGAGATAAACACTCAAGTGAAATCCCGAGTCTAGTGAATTAGAAAACATAAAAAAAGACTCAGTTCGGGTCTCTCAGACTAGGTACTTTTCCTAGCTGAGAAAATCGTACTTGAGAAGAGGTCTATTGTATCCTTTGTCTCGTACCTTTCAGCTACTCTCCATACTCTACATGCAGAGTCCCGGTATAGCTTACCGGTTCTACCGCTGATATTCCTGATGACTCTAATATCAGGAATATTTGAATCCTAATTCCAAAACCCAATATTTTAAAATTCTGAGGTTTTGGGATTTGTATTGACTTTTTGATAATCTAATCCCTAGATGCTCACGCTATAGTGAACTTTGTTCCACACAAATTCACACCAAAAACAGATGACAATGTTCAAAAATGGGTCAAAGACGGACACATATACACATATACAAGAGAACAACACCAGCACAGGTGAATCTACCACTACTGTCAACAGGTGAATTTGAACAGACAGGCCTATTAAAGAAAGTAGTTGGACTTGAGAGAAGTCAACTATCAACACGAACAGGACAAATTCGTGTTGCCTAAAATAGAATAAATACTCCACAACCTACAAGGTGCACAACTTTCCCCCAAATTGGGCTTGACAGGGGGCTTCCACCATTTTCGTGTACACAAAATTAGCCAACACTTCACCTTTTTGTGGAGATGGGCATTATACTCATTTAAGTCAGCACCATTTGGACTACACTCGTTAACAGCCCAATTTCAAAGAGTGATGGCCAATCTCCTCATTGGTATTAAAGTTGTACGGGTATACGTTGACGACAAAGTCATTACCAGTCTCACAGAAGGAGAACACAGGCAAACAGTACGAGAAGTCACCAACTTCAGGCTGAATCACAACAAATGTGCGTTTGCAGTCAAGACATTCAATATCCTATGCGTCAAAGTTGCTACAATAGGGCTCAAAACAGACTCTGAGAAACAAAAACGCATGATTGACTGGCCACTGCCAAGAGCCAACCGAGGCTTACATCGAGCAATCGGACTAGCAAACTACATGCGAGACCACATATCCCAGTTTGCACATATAAGTAAGAGAAAAAATGAATCAGAATATAGCAAATCTTTGGACACCAGAGCTCATTAAGAAATAGGTAAAACTTAGAGAAGCTATTGCATGTTCAGCAACATTGGGATGGAGTATCGTTCCAGATCATGTACGACGCAGGTGATTATGGCATAGGAGGCTGTCTGTTTCAAATCATAGAAGGGGCCAGACGAGATATACTCTATTTCTCAAAAGCCTCAAATCCCGCACAGCAGATATATAGGATAAACGCGAAATAGTTACTAGCGCTGGCATACAGTCTACAACGCTTCTCGGAATACAACATAGGAGGCGATATAACATTGTGAACAGAACACAAAGCATTGTACCAGATGAACAATCAGCAAACGCTGCATCCTAAGCTAGCAAAGTGGATATCGAAAACATTCCATCACCACTTCACAATCATACACGTGCCACACAAAGACAATAAAGTTGCCGACATGCATCACGATTGCATGAAGATACCTTCAACATCAAAACATCAAGTGTGTTGAAGGATGCCAACGAGCAAATGTGTTGAAGGATGCCAACGAGCATACGCACAATGGTCAAGAGGACACTGACCTGGAAACAAACATGCCCATCTGTATCTTGCACTAATCGTCGATGCCTCGACTATCGTGTGTCTGATTCCGATGTTGGCATGCGAACAAAGTGTCATAAACAGATATTTACGACGGCACCAGAGACCGGACCTAAGAGACGATTTCAAGACCGGGTCACACAGAACACCCAACTCAGGGGGTTATTTCAGGATTGGATCAGAAGTTCAACCTAGGTAGTGGAATATATAACTATATAGGATAGAATTATGACTCATCCGACATTATCGCAAGTAATTGTTATACTACATTCTTTAAAGGCTGAATTAACATAAATCAAATTGTTAATAAAACAATCATCACAATGAAGAATACTACTGCTACATCGGGATTTACGGTAGGCAAGAAAGCCTGTGACTGGATATTGTTTGGTCTGCTTGGAGTTCATCGACAATTGCCTTTGATTTGTGCTAAGGTTTCGACAGCGTTTTAAATTAATCCGACACCGGATGAGGAAGTGAAGGCAGGAATTCACGTTACGCTTTCCAGACTGTTCTTTGAGGCTCAACACTCAATTTCTACGTTGAATAAATACAACTAAACATAATGACCGGGCTGGCCACTTGGGAAAGCTGGCGCAGTGCGGAAAGCTACGGATAGTATTCGGCTGATTCGGCTGCAAACGTTGCAAACTTCGACAACAAACAGTACCACCAACACAACTACGTTGGGCTTTTCAATGCCCAACGCCAACTCGCAATCTATGTAACAACGGGGCTACCGCTATACAACAAAACAGCAGTAAATAAGCTCATAATTAGTCGCACGAAGCCTATACCCCAGGTAGCACTATACAAAAAATATGCGCATTACTCACATGGAGCATATGTTGCAGCACGTTCAAACCCAGGCACAAACAAATTCGCCATCTGATGAGATGTCGGCAGAATTTTGTGGGTTCAGAAGTATTCAGAAGTCCACAACTGCTGAGAAATCTTTGGGCAGAAATTAATTGGAACCAGCGGATTTGCATTTTGCGATGGACATGCCAAAAATCCATCGTCATCAGCGACGTGCTCTTTTGATGCATTTTGTAAAAACAGCGGGTTCCTATAGTAGAAGAACATGTTAAGTGTGTATTATAAACGTATGGACGCTTAAACCTTATACGTTGAAATGCGATTGTAGGTATTTGTAAATGCGCAGTATTCAAATTATCTAAAATTTGATATATTGAAAATGCAAAAACAATCAACCAAATGATCTATTATTGTATATTTAGAAATACAATTGTATACAATGGAGAGTGGCGACTCTGTTCCAATTAATGTTGGTGGTTTTTGCTAGGAAAAGTCTCTAGTCTGAGAGAACCGAACTGAGTCTTTATTTGTGTTTTCTAATTCACTAGACTCAGATTTCTACTTGAGTGTTCCCTTGATACGCGGAGTCCCGGTATAGTTTACCGGTTCTACCGCAAATATTTCTGATGACTCTAATATCAGGAATATTTGAATCCGAATTCCTAAACTCCATAATTGATGATTCTGAAGTTTTGGAATTTGTATTGGTTTTATGGTAATCTGGTCCCTAGATGTTACAGCCCCTCAACTTTATGCTTTTAGCCTGTGTAAGAGTACAAAGTGACAACTTACAGTACTATATTGTCCAGAGGTTAGTGTTTTTGTACAAGGCAAAAACTTGTCTCCTAGTGGGTTAAGATGAAAAACCTGCCATCATTATCTATCCTTACATAATACCTATTTATCAATGATACATTGACGGGAGTTCTCAACCATGCTCATCGGAGTCAGTCTCGACCGGTGCTCTCGATACTTCAAGGTGAGACAAGTGGGGGTGTCCCTTGGTATCATTGAGACTTGCTTAGGTTCCCCGCCTCGCGCGCTTTCTGTTGCTCGCTGATCTCTCATCAGTGCTCGTTGCTGTTGATTTCGTCGGCCTTGATTGCCTTCGTTTGCGTCGAGTGCGTTTACGGTATAATGTAAGAACATCAGCATCTGCAATATCTGATTCATTTATAGAGTATGGAGAGTAGCTGAAAGGTACGGTTTTTCCCCTACTTGAGTGGTTCTCTCACACGCGGAGTCCCGGTATAGCTCACGGTTCTACCGCTTTTATTTCTGATGACTCAAATATCAGAAATATATGATTCTTCATTCCAAAACTCAATATTTGATGATTCCGAGGGTTTGAGATTTGAATTGGCTTTCTGATAATATGGTCCCTAGATGCCCGTCCAGGTACGCTTCCCATGTGTCCATTGCAGTAGGTGGTACTCCT